AAAAAAAAAAAAGGGGGGGGGGGGAGAGAACCCTCCATGATTTTCCCCCGGAGCACATGGCCTTTTTAAAAATATTAAGCCCCTTGGCCCAAGGGGGTCTGCTATTCAGCTCTTTAAAAACAAAGGGGAAAAAAAGGCCCGTGGGAACTTTCGAAGGGGGGGGGGGAAACGCTTTTTTTTTTTTTTTTTTTATTCCGGGGTTGCGGGGCGAACCAGAACCTTGCCATTACCAATTTAAGAATCCCTCAGGTTTTAGCCCCCCCCCCCCCCCCCCCCCCCCCAACCAGAGCAATTGGGAGTTGACCTATCCAGCCACACTAGGCCCAAACCGCCCCCCTAGAGGCTCAGGGGATCCTCCCCAAGCCCCCCCCCCACTGATGAGCCTTGATTGGTGGTTAGTCAAGAAAGCTTCCATTTGTCCGGGGCTTGGCGACACCCAACCCCAGGCTGCCCCACGATTTCCCTCTGCGGTGCTTGGGTGCTGGGAGCCTGGGGGCCTTTCCGAAGGAGTGGTGCGTTCTTGGCCACCCGTCACTTTTCGCAGATCTGCTCATTACCACAGACTTGATTTTTTGCTCTTTAATAGAACCACAACCACGAACCACCGACCGATAAACTCACCCTAAACTGTCCCCCCGTTTCCTGGCTCTCTCGCCCCGGATCCATTGGGACTTTGTCTTTTGGGTTCCAGAGTTCGCTTATTCGTCGTGGGTTTTTATAGCATCGTCTGGCCCTTTGGGTCTCCCATAGTCAACTCCCCCTCGTCCTCTATCCCACCCCCTCCCTCTCATTTTCTGTCGTTGATATTGGACGCCCCATCCCCGAGAGTCTCCACCTATCGTTTGTTTCTAGATTTCTATACCCACAGTTCCTTAACCCATTTTCAGGGGGATTAGAAAAGACAGTACTCCTCGTTTCGTCATCCCGTCTTTTCCGTTCTCGTTTGGTGGCAGTGGAGGAGCGGATTTCTGGAGGCATCATCCACGGAGAAAGAGAAGAGACGGGAGAAATAAAAGAGTTAAAAAGTCCACACCAACCTCAAAAGCGAAAAAGGTTTTTTTTCTTTTTTTCTTTTTTTTTCCCTGAAGGCTCGCCTGACTTGGTTGTCATGCCTGGCATCCTGCCCATGAAGGTGATCAAGGTGGGGAACAGCTCGCAGAGTCGCGTCGCCCAGGCCTGCGATCGCTGCAGGAGCAAGAAAATCCGCTGCGATGGAATCCGACCGTGTTGTTCGCAATGCGCGTATGTCGGTTTCGAGTGCAAGACCAGCGACAAGTTAAGCAGACGCGCTTTTCCGCGAGGCTATACTGAGTCATTAGAAGATAGGGTTCGCGCTCTGGAAGCTGAGGTGCGGGAACTGAAGGGCCTGCTGGATGAGAAGGATGAGAAAATCGACGTATTGTCGCGGTTACATTCCTTTTCAACCTCGCGCAGGGCATCCCTGCAAGATTCGACGGGGTTGGGTTCCTCAAACCGGGACGATTCGTCCAAGTCTGCTGCATCTGAGAAAAGAGATGAGTTGATTCGTGTTCAACATTCCTGCTCTTTGTTGCGGAAACCCACGATAAATGCACCTTTCACAGGTCCATCAAGTACGAGAGCTTCTATTGGTATGGCTTCCCTTCATCCACCATCAAATTTATTCATGTTTTTATTTCTCTACGTATACTCAAACGGCGTCTTATCTAGATGCATTTGCGAGCAAGTTGGAAATTAGCGGAAAATCAGCATCAGGCATCTCGACGGATGTATTACTCTCAGAGGCGTTTTTGCCTGTCTGGAGTTCTCAAGATTCATCTCCGCCCCAAAGACGCCAGCCGCGGCTTATAACGGACCAGCTTGTTAATATCTTCTTCCAAGAATGGGCTCCGATATACCCTGTCCTTCATCGACCGACGATGTTGAAAATTTACGGAGACTACGTTAGCGACCCCGATGCGTTTGAAAATGATAAATACTACATGGCACAGCTGAACTTGATTTTTGGAATCTCCGCAATATCGGCTTATGTAAGAGCTTAACCACCTCTTTTTTTGCGATTGTCATGCTAATCTAAGCCCACTCACCCAACAGTCCCGTGTTCCTCAGGATCCCACATTCTTCGAGCAGAATTGGCAGCCTAGGCTTGATGCTCTCGCACACGACGTCTCCTTGCCAGGCCTCCAATGCTATATCCTTGCTCAGATTTACTACAGCATCAAAGCCGATTACAAGAGCCTGTTGCGTTACCGCGGTCTCGCTGTAGGAGTGTGCCATCAACTAGGTCTCCATCAAAGTCAGAGGGGGTTTTCATTTACCTTCCTCGCTAGTGAAACAAGAAAGAGGGTCTTCTGGTGTCAATATGTTCTTGATCGGTAAGTTCCTCAAAAACATGAAAGCTGCCGCTGCGTTTACTGGGGTATATTTATTACTAACTATTTCCCTCAGTTTTGCGGCTGCTTTAACGGGATTGCCTGTTTTGATGCTTGAAACAGACATTTGTGCAGAGTATCCAGCCGATATTGATGACGAAAATCTCACGGACAGCATTGTTCCTACGTTAACCGGTGAATTAACGCGCATTTCAAGCGCTTTGGCCTTGTTCTCAGTGTCACGAATTTTAAGCAAAGTGCTCGCTCAGCTGTATCCTTCACCATCTGGTTATGATGTCTCCTTGTCGACTGTTCATTCCCTCGCAAAGGAACTTGACGAATGGCAGCAAGGACTGCCGCCGCATATTCGCCTCGAGTTTGCGCAGGATAAGCCGAGCGCTAATGTTACTGGAAACCGCTCACCTATTCTTGTAAGTTGAACCATCCAGCGATTTAACTGTCTCCTGATGCGCTGTTTGACACCAGTATTAGTCTATTATATACTATTTCATACGGACACTCATTCGACGACCGGCTGTTTGCTTTGCCCAACAAAATACCACGTCCCC